AAGATATCTGTCACGCTTGGAGGGTAGGTTACCCCCAGGCCTGTCTGTCAATACCGATGTTGTCAGTCCAATAGAGGGGCCAGTTCCAAAAAGTATTTGGTTGGCTGCCTTCTTGGCTATTGAATCGACAAGGCGGTTGGTTACCTTTCGATATGACGTAAGCTATAAGTATGAAGACTAGTCTTCATAACCATAAGCAATGTATGCTTTTTTGATTGTTTTGTCTTTTGTCAAAGGTACTTCACCTGTGTTACAAAGTTTTAGTTTTGTGTTTAGAAACTTTTGAGGTTTTATTTCCATTCCCAGCCTTTTGCTTGTGCGAAGTACCATTTTTGTTCTATGGGGATTGATAGACAGTGAATTGTGAATTAAAGATTGAATGACAGGATCTACCAGTATGTTAGACTTTCAAGGATTATACTAGTAATAGTTTTAAACATAAAGCTTAATACTAAATGACACATTATCAATGTAATTGGTCATTATCTGGGCACTGTGATAAATGAATTTAGCTGTCGAGCTTAAACTTACACACGTCTGGACCCTTGAAGATTTTAGGGTAATTTTTCTTGTTTGATGTCAATGGCATTGAATCAATTTTTGATATTATTAGCTGAGGCTCACATATTTCATCGTAATTTGGAAGGCCAACATTTTCTTTACAATATCAATGATTATTAAAAAAATGAAAACAAAAAGAAATTAAAATAAATCAATTATTTTAACACTGAATCAAAAAGTAGTTTGTAAATATTACTTACCATTAGTGCCAAACAGTGCAAGATGCATTTTTCTTATAACGCTTATTACAAATTATTTGGTTATCCTTAATATGACGACTGCATATTTAATATGAGATATAAATTGCATTACTACCAATATCTGTAAGTGCCAATATTGTACGTTGCTGAAACCCATTTCCCCATCTTTTGAAAACATTGCAACGTTCATATGTACTGAAAATAATTATATTTAAATGAACGTGAGACATGTAAGGATTATCGTTTAAGGTTTTTACTAAATTTTAAGAATAAAAGCATGTCTTTTTATCACAAATTAATTAAATAGTATTTCAGTTATAAATACCATTGGTTTGGTCTTATTATAAATAAATTAAATAGTATTTCAGTTACAAATACCATTGGTTTAGTCATTTTTATCACAAATAAATTAATAGTATTTCAATTATAAATGTCATGGTTTAATCGTGTTACATTCCCTTAAAGTGTACACTTGTCACGTTAGTTTCTAATTCTTTATTTCCTTTAGTCATCTATTTTAACCTAATAAATTTGAGTATATTGTTTGTTGACATTTTTCTAACCTGTTCCAAGTAACCGTCACTGTCATTCAACTTGACAACCAGTAGGTACGTTTTTCAAGTCCTTTCTTTCGAGGTTCTGGCTATACCAGTACCAGTCGCTTTTTCGGTTCCATGACTTTGTGTTCTCTGGAGCACAGGCGGAAACGATGAAGACAAGGTTAACCATTTTGTCTTTCGTTTAGTGAGCTGAAAGCACGGTGGCGTTACAAAATTTTTATGTGAAAAAGGTCATTTCCATTTTTAAGTTTATTGGATCGAAGTAAAACTTTTCCATTTTTGTTTTAGAGATCAGGCGACCTAACTATAACTATACCAAATCAGTGTAGAGATATATATTTTATATATACATATTACAAAAAAAGTTAAAAAAAAACGCAAATGGCCGACCCATTGTGGGCTTTCTGGTTTTGGCGCTGCGAGAACTGCTTTCTCCAGAATGTATTTTGGTTGTCCTTCATGTTCAGGGGGCCCTATTCAAGCCTGATCTGCTACTTTATGATCTGGTGCTTTATGGTCTGCAGCTTTATGGTCTGCAGCTTTATGGTATGCAGCTTTATGGTCCAAATCCTTTATGGTTTGCTGTCCTCACAGGGGCGTAATTTTGAAGGGACACTGATCAGTAAAATGTTCAGACGAGAGGTCTACCTCTCCTAGAGGGTTTTTTTGTGCTGACACACGTTTTTTGGTGAGTTCCACCCATTTTATTGGATTAAGTTTTTTGGTGAGTTTCACCCAGTTTAAAATGGACTTTTAAGTTTGAAGTGCCAGGCAAGGACTATTTTTTTATGTAACAATATTCATTTATTTAGTTTTTTAATTCACACATAAATATTCTTTAAAATTCATTGAATATTTCTTCGTTATGACATAGTGTGAACCGAATACAGCTGTAGGAGGGGGTATAACGAGTTAAACATATATGTACATATTTTCTGATAACCATTCAAGCCACTCATGTATCAGTAGACTTGTAGATGTAAATTTAACATAAAATATTCTTTTTATAAAACCCTTTGAAGGTTGAAAAATTGAAAAACAGCAGATACTAACTTTAGTTAGGAGTAGGCATCTAAGATTATTTTATAAAATCATTCTAAATATTGAAATTTGTAAACCAGTACAAAAGTCATTTTCAATATCGAATATTGGACTTTTTTATTTGTTCGCCTGGAGGGAATTAAAGAATTTATAGAAAAAACTAGTTGTTTTGATTTAGTCTTTGTTTTTTTAGTTTCTATAACATCAAAATTAAATGGCGTCCACTATTAAAAGTTTTCAGAACCCACGAACCCTGCTTCCAGACTATAGAGCTGCCGTGCTCTTGTAACCTTTCGTTTCCCTATGCATACCGTCTCAAAAAGGGAACAAAAAACGTTACAACATGTTTAAAATTGAAAAAATATATTTAGATGAATCAAAATCCAATACCTTTCATTTAGCCATTTAATGTTTTGAAGTTTTGCACGAGCGCCATCCCGTTAATTTGAGTGGTACTAAATTACCCTCATGACATCGTTAAGAAATGTGTATGGCTGCAAAGTAGCTGGAACAAATTGTAAAAAATATATGTGTAAGTAAAGTGTTAAAGATGTGTGTTTTGGTATATCTATAATAGATATACGAATTTATCATAAAATACAATTTATTATGATTTTTACGATTTTTCATTTTATCCAATCAGTATGATTTTTTCAAATCTGCTTATTCTTTTCTACGGAGAATACAATAAATTGACCAGTGCAGTGTACCGAAGAAAGTCGCTTTTAACCATATTTAAAATTACTGAAATAAAATTCACAAAAGCTGATTACTTTAAATTATTTTCATTATACATTAACTGGTATTTACAAATACGATAATAGAGTTTTCAACTATTTTCTGTTTTAAAATTTACTTTTCGATTTTTTTATTGCACCTCATATATGATCATTACTCATTTTAAGGTGTAAGCTAAGAAACAACTCTTCTCTCATGCTTGTGAAGTTTTCTGCCCGATGGGCATTTCATGCATTGTCTCCCAGCAGGCACGATACTAATTGGGCATCGGGAGGCCCCATGTAGCGTCCCATACAAGACTAATATATATTTGAACGTGTTTTTGGCTTTGTTCGTTCTATAAGCAATGTGTTACCATCGTTTGTTACGAGAATAAGGTCAACATTTCACTATGCCATAAGCAAATGATAATCGCATCATCAAATATGTCCGAAACTTTTGAAAAATGGTACTTATAGGTACCAAATTATTTATATAAAAAGTCTTTTTATAAGAAAAAATATGTTTATTGCAGAATAACTTCTGATGTATTATTAATGATGAATTACAATTCTGTAATTTTGAAATAAATACTATGATAGTTTTTTATAAATGGAAATCGAAGTGAAATATGACTGATGATATTTTCATCGTTACTGCATACAAATTTCCGAATTTTTCATCATCTTTATTTAGAAAAATAATTTTCGAAAATAGATTATAATATCTAAATAACTTTTATTAGATATATTAAAGTTCTTTAACTTTAAACAAGATATAATTATTATTCTAGGTACAATAAATCTGACCACTTTTTACATCAGTCAGACTATCGATCTGTATGTATGTCCCATTGATTCTAAATTTAATTTATGCTCTTATCATAGTATCCCAACATCAACTGTTTACGATACATTACCTAAACTTAACACAAGGGAGAGACCAGGTACTGATGTATTCCGCCATACTCCTGAAAAATCGCAGCTTCATAATATTGTTGTTTCTCAATGTTGACAAATCAATTCAATATTGGGAGTTTCTGATTATTTACAAGCTCTTATATATCATATACAAGTCTTGTAAAAAAACTTCCATAAAAAACTACCGGCCAATATCTATTAGCACAATCCCAAAGCTCTTTAAAAGCATCATAACTTATAACTTTCGCGTCTACAAGTCAAGTGCATGCATGCATGCATAAATTTTTGTTACTTATGCTAACTTTCTTTCGGAAGCCCTCGAGAAGGGACCATATAGTCAAAGTAAAACATTACTATCCTCACGATTACTTGTTTACTACTGGAGTTGCCCAAGAATCCCACCGGGACCTCTTCTTTTGAATTTATTTGTCAGTGATGTAACATCGTTCTCATCGTTTTTGCAGATGACCTTAAACTTTTCCAAATTGTCAACATCTTTGGAAATGATATTGATTTACCGTCTGATATTGTATATACGATTGGTGTAAATATGACGACATTTAGATGTGGAAGAATTTCATATTAAATATGCATCGTTCACAACAGTCCCCTACTATACTGAATTATAAAATGAATGGTCAACTTCTAGATACCGTAAAACAAATTAAAGGTGTGATTTTTGACACAACCTTTAATTTTAGTCACCACATATCTTCAATAATAGGAATATCTATGAGAATTTATTACTTTAGTTATACTAGACATCTTAATTATTGCTTTTCTGTATGATCCCCACATTATATAACTTACAAATTAAAAACTGATGGTGTTCAGAGCAATTTTATGAATTACAAACTTATTATTATCAAGCAACCACGAAGTAGAAACCTGATGTGTGTTTTTATATGATTGTCCCGAAATCCCATCGAAAATTATTATTTTTGATCTTAATCGTAATACCAGCCAATCAAAAATATTTTATATCCTGTTTTTTTTTGCAGAATCTCTGATGGGTTCAGCGTCGGAAGACGAAGAAGATGACGACGCAAGTACCGCATCGTCGGTTCTTAAACATCATACCATACATAGTTCACTTCCTGCCGCTCCTGGAGAAACTAATAACAATTCAATTACCTCCGATATTGCGAGTTCAATAGGACAGGTGAGACTCAAAAATACACAATTTTCTAAAATATATAAGTACGTAAATTTAAGGCTGAAGATAGTAGATTATAGATAGGTCGATTGGCCCCAAACGCGTTTCTTCACTGAGACGTAGCATGATCTATTATTGTAAATATCCTAAATATAGTGAGATCCTGGGTTTCCAAGAATTTTCTTAAATCTAGGGTATCTTTAATTACTACAGAAATAGTTAATTTAACCAAAAAGTAGGTAGATTAAGGAGCGTAGGAAAAAATAGTAAGTGTTTATTGCGAACAATAGTGCTGGTGCTTTCTTCAGTAATTTATTTCGTGTTCAAGTGTTCTAGATTCTTTAGCAGTTATCCGACATATTATCACAGTGTCATCGAAAGTAACCAATTTTGTTATGATGATAATATGTGTAGGTATTCCAGTGAATTGTCTAAACCTGGACCTAACTGTCCAATGAAAGAGTTGATGCTGGGTTTTTTGGACTTAAGTTGAGAACAACAATTTTGCTGAGTCTAGGAGAATGTAGATAAAGAAGTGATACCTCGTATGTGTTGATTAACTAACGTGTAAATATGAGATGTCACTTTTTCAATAACGATATGGAATAGTTTTTCAAGTCGAACTAGTAGCCATACAACACTGTACAAGAAAATTAATAAATCAGTTATATTGAAACAAAACTATTGCCATCTACTCTGATAGCCAATCATATCTAAAGGCAATCCTCTTGTTAGAAAACAAATCTGGTTAAAGACTAAGTACGAAGGTTGTTAAGAAAAGTCCTTCATTTCTCACACCTTTACAACCTTTGTACTCAACCCCAACCACTCACATTTGGCTACTCTCACTCTTAATGGTTAAAGACTACTTAGATGATCTGATAGAGCCAAGCAGTCAGAAGAAAGTGACTTTAGCCTGGATAATAGGCCAGAAAGGATAACAAGTAAAATACAATATCAACAAATTAACCTGAGACAAAGCCATGGGAGTCTCCGAACCATTTTTGGAGTTACTAAGGCAGTGTGCAAGGCATCTATTAAACAATGGATGCAAAAATGCCTGTATGGAGGCCTGGCTAGATTGAGGTTTCTAACACTAAGTGAATAAAAGCCAGAAGAATTTAATTATATGCAAAAGCCACTGTCAATGCTACTAAGGGTCGATCTTTTCACCTCTGAGTAAAGTTACATGTAGGTTTACTTGACAGATTAACAAACAATAGCCCTATAGTTTAATCAGCAAGTAGTTACTTTCAACTTTACTCAGAGGTGAAAAGACTGGCCCTAAGTTTAATAAAAAAAAGAGCAAACTACGAAGACCCTTAAATCGATCTGAATAGGTCGCGGTAAGCAAATGTCTAACAATTGCAGTATTTAATCTACTAAGTTTTCCTCCAGAAGGTAGTCTTTTTGAATATATATTTTCCCATTTATTAACATACCCAGACATTCGTTTAATTTTGAAATTATCAAAAGTACTTCTGGATTTTACTGATACTCTCTAAGAATTCTATCGAAGTTAAAAAAAAGCCAATTTTAATCAACCTGTACCAATAAATTAGTTTTTTTACACCAAAATCATAATATTATTGTATTCATTCTTGCACCAATTACACACCCCCGGTCTGACATATGTATTCCCATGTATTTTTTGACGATCCCGAGCTCAGAAATGGCCCTCCACGTCTGGAATTAGCCCCAGGGGCTAACAATGGCCTCTATATGGCCTGAAAAGTGGAAGAGTCAGGACTGGCCTAAATCGAGTTCCTAAGGGGTTTTCGAGGTCGCTGATCACGATTATAATGTTCAAATTGAACCACAGATGACCTGCAGCTCAAGAACGCCGATAAACTTTATCTACGGGGACTATCCCACGTGGATAATGAGAGAATCTCGGCGCTTGTGGGTTTTTTGGGTTGCTGAATTCAAATATAACATCGGCGAATACCCCCTGAACACCTGGTGCACTGGAATCGGCACGTGGACGTCATCTCCGAGAAGTTTCTTGCCAAGATTGCCAAAAACAAGCCAAAAAAACTTTGTAGGGGTATTTTTTGGGGCCCTTGATCCAAATTTCACGTCGAAAACGATCCCCGAACACCTAGTGCACCGAAACGTCGTCTCCGAGGGTTCTCCAAATACAATCGCTAAAGACAAACCTAAAATGGTCATGGCGTCTATCCAAATTTCATAAAACGTACCTCCGGAGAACTGATGTACCGAAACTTCGGCTTGAACGTCATCTGAGAGGGTGTTAATCACACAATCGAGACTACTGTGTCTTATTAGAGATCCCCGTACACCTCACGGTATGTATATACTTCCGTATGAGGAAGTAAAGTCGGGGACTCTATACTGTATCATTTAAACTACTCTTTATACTTGACAATCGAGTGTAAAAGAATACATGGGTAAATGATACACGCTTTAGAATCGGTGGATGGGGCATTCTGGATCTTTTAGATCACTCAATTTTAATCAGAATACCCTTCGATTACTACATCCCAAACACGACTTTCCGGTACTTAAGGGGTCGTTTTCCTAGTCCCAAAGGGGGAATTCCAGTTACCATAAACTTTTCGAGCACAGTCTGAGTTCAAAAACTAGGACATAAAGGTACCACTGTACCAACGTCCGAAATAAGATTTTCCGGCCCGCAAGGGGTCATTTTTCCGGTCCCAAACGTGAAATTTCAGTTGGCCATAAACTTTTCGAGCACGGTATTCATTCCAGAATTCAGAAGTACATAAAAATACCATTGATGCGATTACGATGTCCGAAACACGATTTTCCGTCTCCTGTCGGGCCATTTTCCCAGAGCCTATCGGGCCATTTTCCCGGACCCTACCGGGTCATTTTCTCGTCACGTACGGGGAATTCCTGTTGTCTGTGAACTTTTCGACCATAAACCTGACTTTGGCTTTAGAAGGCACCTTCAACCACGCCTCATCTTGGAATCCACCTTTCAGGCCATATAGAGGCTTTTTTTGGCCTCTACGGCCAATTCCAAACGTGGAGGGCCATTTCTGAGTTCGGGATCGGATTCAGCGTCGAAAAATACATGGAAATACATATGTTCGACGCCAATTCTGAACACTTTTTTGTGGGGCTGTGTTATCCTTGTACTGAGTACATCCAGCATCTGTCTTTTGCAATATGTCTTAACATCTTCCGATAATCTGTGAGTTAAGATCGATCTAATTATTATCAAGCAGTGAGGAGAATCCACAATAATGGCGAAATACGAAAGACTATTCTTTTTTGTATTAATTGTTTTTCTGTACATGATAGTATTCTTGATCCATTTCCCAATATTTGATCATCAATGTATGTTCTTTGGCACCCCATGGACAAACTTTGAAATTTCATGATCCTTATATAAAATGGCATCCTTTTATTGTAGTGGTCACTGTAGTGTCGAGCAGCCGTGTATTCAATGACTGGCTTTTAGTGGAAAGCTAGGCTCTAGTTCGAATCCCAGGGCAGACCATGAGAAAATTTTATTAACTTGCAATTGCATGATTCGTTGTAGACGTATTAGCAATAATTAAATTTTTGTTGGTATGACATTCATATTTTTAATCCCAGTGGGTTAATGTGCTGACGATGGAGGATCGATTATCTGTAAATAATGATTGTTGGATTTGTAGGTTATTAAAGTTGAACCCAACACAAATTATAGATACGGCCCTAAGGCGTGCTTACCAAGTGGACTGTCTCCTTTTAGTGCTAGCTGCAACCATCTCCATATGGATATTGAAATTCCAACACTATGTAAAAAATAATTTATTGTGCAAAAACGCTGCACGATAACTTATAAATTTGTACATACTTACAGGGCCGCCGAGAGCCAGGTGGGACCCCGGGACAATTGGCCAGGTCGGAACCGGCCTTCCAATATCACATTTCTAAAATAAAAACAAAGAAAAGGTCCTCAAGCAAATGATTAGATCCTTTTTAGTGAAATCTCTAAAAAAAGATCCTCATATTATATTTTATCCCTTTTCTAGCGAACACGGACCCCCATTGTGCCGCTATCGGGTCCCTACTTGTGCCCGGACCCCTTAAATTTGTCCCGGCTGTCCCTCCTCTCGTCGGCCCTGCATATTTACATTATTTTTATTTAACATCTACCTACATGCTTAACACTGCATTAGGGTTTAACATTTTATTTTATTTATTATTGCACAGAGAACTTAAGTGATTTATATAACAGAAAAGAACTGTCGTCATTTTAATGAGAGCACGTCTGTCTTCTAGCGAAGCACAGACTTGTCTGTTTTTTTTTCGTTCAGAATAAAAAGATACATATGTCTATATGACTGAAAACTAGTTAGCCTCGAGTATTTTGCGCCGATGCGGCTTGGCGGACGTGATTATTGTCACGTACACATTTGTTTATAGTTGCTAATAATGAACATCTGGGTTCGCGAGCACAGGACCGTCTTTGATATGTTTCAAACGATTTTGAAACAATAATAATTGTCGTTCCTTCCAATAATTGTCTTCAGAGTTTACCTTTGAGTTTCTATCTTAATACCACTGTTTTTTTATGAATTTCCTCAATTTATGTTTTCAAATTTTCAGGATTCAAAAACGGGTCAAGACGACTCTGAAGACCAAAATTCCCTGGACGGAGATCCAGAAACGCGAGATTCACAAACTGAAAATAAAAGTCCTGACGATAGTAGCGCGGGGTCGAAACGACGTGGACCAAGAACAACGATAAAGGCGAAACAACTAGAAATACTAAAGACAGCATTCTCACAAACGCCGAAACCCACAAGGCATATACGAGAACAACTGGCAAAAGAGACGGGTTTACCTATGCGAGTGATTCAAGTAAGTCAAAATTATACATTCTTGTCATAAAATTGCAAAGTTATTGAGAAGTTAATGTTAAAACTCCAGTAACTAAACTCGTGCGGTGGCCAAAACAGAACTATTAAATTAGTTATCTCATTTACTTCAAAATCGCCATTCATTGGAAGAAATTCGATCGAAATTTTTATTGTTTTATGGCAATCTTTTTTACTCAATGATTCGCAATCTGGAGATGTTAAATGTGCATTAAGACCCATCAGATAATTTACACAAAAAATATATGAATATAATAATGACGACATTATCCCTTAATCAGGCCCTGGCAACTCTATTCCCACTGAAAATATCGGATACATAATCCCCACATAAGATTTTTTGGGTAGACTCAGGAAAAATAGTTCCCACACAATTTTTTTTTTGAAACTGGCAAAAAATATAAATATTATTATTAGGTACAATTGTCTGATTTTGGATTAAAAGTACAATTTTCGTCAATAAAATTTTGAAATTAGACCCAGGTCAAGATTTTGATTAGGACATAGAAGAACTCTCGGTAACAACTTAGATTTTGATATTAATGACAGTTTTCTAAAAGAATATAAATGAATTTTTTAATAATTACCAGTAAATAAGTTCGCAAGGAAACATATTCTTCTGTTTTTCATTATAGTTTATTTTTAGACGATGAGATTTGTTTATTAACCCAGTTTTAATAAAACGACGTAAAGCTATTCTGACTTTTGTTCCTATTTTTTTTGCTAACCTTTTTTAGCTCATGGTAAACTTTAATCATCTGGAAACTAATTCTTTGTGAAATAGACGATTTTTGCAAAATATCATTCAGTTACGGAACCTCTGTTGCCCCAAAAAAAATCCTTTAAATGAGTATGCGAAAAAAATATGTTTCAATTTAAACATCAACTCGATTTACATCAAATAAAGCATAAAAAATCTGAACATATTAGACCACACCTCGCCGTCACCCGCAATTTCCAAAACGCGCAGTAAGTCTCGCATGAACCATTTTTCAAATCAAATTCGAATGTACTGTGACTGAAACGCGCGCCATATGACAGTCGGCAGTCTGCCGCCAACGACGTTGGCCCCATTTGTGACCAATTTCAATTTGGTTTGTTTGTCAACGTTGGAAATTGAGGCTGTAATGAGAAATTCTAAATAGACGCTCATCCATTTCAACAAACCTATAACTTCTAAAGCATATTTTACATAAAGGTAACTTTTGTAATTGCTAAGATTAAATTAACTCAACGTCCAAAAACACTTACAAGAACATAAACGAAAATAAAATTCTCAAAATCAGTATCACACAAATTTATTTTTTAGTAAAAACTACTTGTTAACTGGGTAATGTTAACACAGCAACCGGTTTCGGCTCAAAAGCCATCATCAGGCTTTAGACGAAATTCATAATCATCAGAATAGAACTTATAAGTTACGTTGTTAAATGGTTGTAGCAACTGGGAAAAAAACTACCTAGATATTCTTAAGGATAAATTGAAAGAAGGTGTGTGTGAAAAAATTAGTAGAATTAATGGGTAGTCTCTATGACAAAAAGTATTAGTGACCAATCAAGGGCGTAGTGGTAAAAGACTAACCTGAAAGCTCTAATGTATTTGTTCTTCAAGGTTATGATGAACTTAGCAAGACAGAATCAGCAAGTGATCGTGCTGTAGAAAGTTGGCATGTAGCTAGAAGGTCGAAGATATCTAAAGCAAATATACCATAATACCATAAATTAGAAAAGATAGGATATCTAATTCACAGTTATCTTTCTGACTGCCCCATATAATTACCTTTTCAATGATGTGCCGTAAATGGTACATTCCTCATTTAAAATTAAGGGGTTGGAGAAGTGGAAGGGAGGGGGTTGACACATGACAGATGTCTGTATTGTAAAAATGTGTTTAATTTGGAATAAAAATTGACCTGTTTTAGCATTTTCCAAAAATCCAATGATCAATGTCGAAAAACAGGATAAAACTGTTTTGAGTGACCCACTCTGTATATCAAAAATGGCTGGATTTATCGAATTAGTTTATAGAACAAAATCTACTTAAAAATACATATTGGCCTATTTAAAACTAATTTATGTCTAAAACTGAAGCTATCTTAGCGTTCTATAAACTGGCTTATACAGAATTAAAATATCTCTATTATTTACCAAAATATCCGGCCTGGGAGTTTTTATTGGTACGCCCTGTATAAAGTAGGGTGACCCATATTTGGTTTGGCCCAATGCTGGACGCGAGAAGTGAGGACTTTTTTTAGCTTCTCAACACCAAAACAAAGAAGTTTATGTAGAGACTACTAAAGAATTTTTTATTTTTTGTCAATTTTTCTTCTTTTTTTTTCTATTTTTCTTTTTTCCTTATTTTACTTTATTTTCTTTGTTTTTCTTTTTTATTTTTTTTTTTTTGGTTCTTTTGTCTTGCGATTTTTGGTTTTTATTTTTTGTTTTTGTTTTCGGTTTCTGATTTTTTGTTTTTTTTTTGTTTTCTTTTTTTTTGTTTGTTACGATTCAGTAAATTATGTATCACATATTACATTTGCTAGACAATACTGGCGTTTTGCTAGACAATACTGGCGTTTTGCTAGACAAATAAAATACAGAGTTTCGCTGGAAATACGACGTTTTGTGCTGTATTATGCTGGACAGACTTTGAAAATGCTGTACAATACAATGAAATGCTGTACGTATGGTCACCCTAATGTAAAAGATAATCTAAAGAATAATATAAAATAGCTACATGTCTATTCTACTTTAAATCAAATATCGCAACATTTATTTATTGTAATTTAATTAGATAAATAAACTGGGAAGGAAAAACTATGTTTAACTCCAAATACCTTATATATAATTTGTATTGAGCGATTTAATAGCATGAATTCCATAATAATTATTAATAGTAATTTTGGTGACACGTAAGATAACAAAATAAATATTGATCAAACCGTGGAGTTGGGCGGTTTTAGGTAAAGAAGCATTCTATCGTTAAGCGGTATTACAAAAGAACCATAAGGGCCGTTCTATCTGCGGGCGGTACCAAGCGGTTTCGTTAGAGTATTAGTCATGCTAATATATGTTAAAAACTGCGATTCAAAATAAATATTAAATATGGGCGATCAGGAGCGGAATAAGGTCGGTTCTACGTGTAGGTTATTAAACGAATTTTAAAAAACAGTGCGTGAAAAAATAAATTGAAGTCAAATACTTATTATGAATATATTATGAAAAGAACAATGCATATTGATATGGAGACGCCATCCAAACTTGACGCTCCCTACCAGGAATAATATTTTTTGGATCGGGTTTTGCACCAGAAAATTTACAATTTAAATTAGAGTCTATTTGATCTCCTCCTGCTGCCTTTTCTGCCATCTTTGCCTTCGCTTCCTTCTCTATCTTCTCCGCCCTCTCCACCTTATTCGCCTTCTCCGCCTTCTCTGCCTTCTCTGCCTTCTCTTGCCTTCTCCTGCCTTCTCTATTTTCTCATCACCGCCTTCTGAGTTCCTGAGCTCCTGAACAGCTTCCTGCACCGCTCCTTCATTTCCTTTCTACTATCTTTGAGGTTATTGCTCACTGTGCTGGATCAGCTCAATTATCATCGACTACAACGTTCTTTTTGCTTAAAATACTTATTTATTGAATAGTACACATACTACAACTATAATTGTATATTTCTTCTCTTGGGACAAACTTCTTCCACTTGTTATCCCAGAATTGCCATAATATTAACATTTAACAAATAATTATAGTCTGCTTGATTTTGGCCCAAAAAATATATCTTTCGACCCATTAGCGTCCCCAAGGAATTAGTCTCCATTTCAATATAGATGACTAAATAACTCATTATAAAATAGACCAATAGAACCATGAATATACAGGGTGTCTGTAAAAGGTCTTTACAAAAACATACCACATATTCCTTAGACCAAAATAAGTCGATTTAAGTAAAATTACCTTAGTACAAAGTTGCTTCGTTTGGGCTCCAGAGGGCCTTGAAGTTACAATTTTTAAATCGTTTTTCCCATATAAATTTAAAACGACATATGCGATTTTGCTGAAATTTGGTATTTTGGTAGAGTTTTATGTGCCAAAAAAAATGGTATTAAAATTTTGTCCGATAATAATACATAGGCGTAGAACTTGATTTTTTAAATAATTGCACCTTTAAAAATTCTACGCCAATGGAAAAAAAGGACTTTTAGTATGAAATTTAGATTGCGCAACTCATTTACTTTAAAAAAGGTACTCTTGATAAGACTCGATTACTCTCATGGTTTTGACGAAATTTGCATTTTAGTAATTTTAGAACATAAACAATAATTATTATATGTATACCGATATGTTACTGACATTAGGATTTTGTGAAGGAAATGCTCGAGAGAGTGTCAGGGTGTACTCTGAAAGGTTTCCAAATCGTCGTGTACCTAGCCACCCAACTTTTGCTGCTGCTGAGAGACGTCTTCGGGAGAGCGGTTCCTTTGCTTCCAACACTGTTGATAATGGAAGAGAACGTTTTGTAAGGATTACTGAAGTTGAAGAAAACATTTTAGAACGTGTTGAAGAAGATCCAGAATTAAGCACCAGACGAATTGGAAGGGAACTAGGAGTAAGTAAAGATGTCGTTAATAAAGTGCTTAGAGAACAATTGCTATATCCATACCATAAGAAGCCAGTACAAGAATTATTAGTCCATGATCCTCAAATTCGTTTGGGTTTTTGTCGATTTGTTAATATGCAAAGAGAAAGAGATCCAAACTTTGTCAAGAAGGTTCTCTTTACCGATGAAGCGGGTTTTACAAGAAGAGGTATAACCAATACCCATAATGAACATGTTTATGCCGTTGAAAATCCGCATAAAATAAAGGTAAACCATTTTCAGCACGAATTCAAAATTAATGTGTGGGCTGGAATAATTGGTAATTTCATTGTTGGTCCTGTCATACTTCCACGAAGATTAACTGGAGAAAATTATTTGGATTTTCTACAAAAT